TTTTTTATTTCAAGAGAGGGTTCTATTAGGAGAGGGGAAGTCACTGGGAAATGACAATTAAAAAAAAACAGCGACAAAACTTTTTTTTTAAACTACCATAAGATTTCATTTTAAAGAATACCAATTTTTTTTTATACTCTGGTTGGGGGGAAAGTATGGATAAGGACAAGGAGAAATATTTTACTGTAAACTTTATTAAACTCAAAGGGAGCTGGCCCTTTTCCTATCTCATTCATAGCATTCTTTATAATTTTTCATATGCGGTGAGTGTATGTGTACACACATACAATTAGCATATGAATGTCCTCTGTATACACACTCATATTTAGTTGCTGGGATAATGAGGAACATATTTTGTAAAATTTAAAGTGCTACATAAAGATGAGCTACTTTATATGTTGTATCTCTATATAAATATAGCTACATAGATACATGTATATTCATTCATGGAGGCAGGGTACACTTGAGGCTAAGGTTCCTTCCAGGTCAAGCAATTGCTTTGAAGAATCATGGATAGTAGAGCAGACCAGGAGATAAAAACAACAACAACAACAACAGAGGGTAGGAATGCTATAAAGAACAAAAGAAATTTGGGCAGAAGACAAAGTCAGGAGAAATTTGGAAAATATAGTAACACTGCATTAGGAATTGATGTTCGAGAAAATTAATCAGATGGCAAGAAATTCAATGCGCGCTCACATACCACAAAGAAACATATAGTAACACTGAGCTAACAGTTTCCTGGGGATTTTTTTAAAATGGGGGCTGACACTAATATTTCTGTTGGGTTGGTTTTAGTTTTATCAATTTCTGGGGGCAGGGAACACTTTAGGTTCCTTCCATCTTCACTATTTTATGAACCAAGTAGAGAAAAAATGTTAAAGTATCTCTGGGGGTAGCAATTTTGAATAAGATAAAGTGAATGGAAAGAAAGTAACAGAATGACTCATAAGCCCTATAATCAAACTAGCAACGTCACACTGACAATGATGGTTATACAGGGGAGCAGGTACTAAAGCAGAATACTAAATTAGCCTTCAGGAAGCTGACAGATTAGACAGAACACCTTTTAGAGCAATCAAGGCTAGATTTTTTTTTTTATATTTAAGCTGTGGCTAGCCTAAGGCAACACACTACAGTAGAAAGGGCACTGGTTTTAGCATCAGAGGGTCATTGTTCAAGTCTGGGCTCTACATGTGTGACCTGGGACAAGTGACTTAATCTCTCGGGACTATTTTCACATCTGTAAAATGAGGTATTAAGACTAGATGTCCTCCTAAGGTCCTTTCCATCTCTAATATATGAACTTGTGTAAGACGAAAATCTCCCACAGAGGGAGAAGACTAGAGGAAGACCTTACAAAATGATAGCTGGTACTGGAAGCATTTCCCAATCTCTCTTTATTCCAGTGCCTTCCCTCTGATAATTATTTCCTATTTATCCTGTATATAGCTTGCTTTGTATAAGTTTGCATACTGTCTCCATTAGATGGTAAAGCTTCTTGAGGGCAGGGACTATCTTTTGCCTCTTTCTGTATCTCCAGCACTTAGTGCAGTGCTTAGAACATAGGAGGAACTTGTTTATTGATCAACTGATGAGGTATGAGAGTACAAGACGTACTGTTCAGAATTATAGAATTTTTATAGTCAGAAAAGACCTTTAGCTCCTTAGAGATCACTGTATATATGTCCTATACATATATATGTGTGTTTCCACTAAATGTCGAGGGCTCTTTTGTACCCTTAGCATCTTACATGATGGCCGAAGCAGACCATTGTAGTTATTCAATATTGCCTGATAATTATCATCTGGACCCTTTACCTCACTTCAGAAATAAGAAAGTTTACACACTGGACTAGAATCCATCTCTCTTATATCAGTGTTCTTTCTCCAAAACAATTCTGCATGGGGAGAGGAGACCTGCCATTTCTGAAATTAAATTTTCCTAAGAAATGGAAAAACTATCACTCTACCCTACATTCCTGACCAATCCAACTGGGCTTCATAAAACAAGATCCACCAGCTTGAAGCTACCCAAATCGTTTTGGGGGACTCCTATGATCCCCTCCTAAATAACACACAGAATAGCCAACTCTCCAAATGGTTGGGGGTCCCCAGTGGGAGATTATAGTAATAATAAGTTAGCACTTATATAGTGCTTTAAAGTTGCAAAATGCTTTATACTTTATCTTATTTGATCTCCAAAACAACCCTGAGATAGGTGTTATTACCCTCATTTCACAGGTGATGAAAACCAAAGCTGGAGGTGCCATAGCCACTAACCATGGGAATTCATTAAGGTAGGGAGGGCCTCCATTGAAGCTAATTTCAATCCCTCTACAACTTGGTAGATAGTCTTCCTAAATTGATGTGGCTGGAAAACCTTACCACCCTACAGCCACCATAATGATGAAGCTTTCCTAGGCTGGTCCTTAAACAGAAAGGATACAATTCAATTTAGTTCAGACCACTGATGAACCACATCTTTTTTTTAAACTAGATCTGTGATTTCCTTAGTGTAGGGAGCTCCTGATGAGTAGCTTCCAGTAGCACCAGTGCAGACTGATAACTATTCTGCAGATTCATCTTAGACCAGGAGTGGGGAACCTGAAGCTGGAGGCCACCTGTGGCCCTCTAGGTCCTCAAGTGTGGCCTTTTAAATTCAAACTTCACAGAACAAATCCTCTAAATAAAAGGATTTGTTTTGTAAAACTTGGGACTCAGTCAAAAGGCTTCGAGGCCACAGGTTCCCCACCATTTTAGACAGTCTCCTATGCCACTGAAAAATTAAGTGACAAGCTTGCCCGATGTCTGAAGAAGGACTTGAACCCAGGTTTCTGGACTCACAAAGGCCAGCTCTATAACCACTATACCATGTTGCCTCTCAATGAACTGCATTAAGCAGGCTGTATTACAGAGATTAAAATATTCCCTATTAAGAGTTAGATAAAAATAAATTCAAATAAGCAAATGCCTCTCTGCAGGAGAAATGTCAAAGGAATTCCAGTGGCAATTTTAGTCCACATTATGCATTTTATTACTTGATTATCAACCTCCTAGTATTATTTGCCATTTGTTTCATGCATATGTACCTCATCTCTCAATCAAAATGTAAAGTTCTTCAAGGAAGAGATTGTGCTTCCTATTTATTATGTATTCTACACAGTACCTAGCATAGTGAGTGGTAGGCACACAGAAGATGCAATACATACTGTCAACCAGGGTTTGCCCTAAGGAACTTGAGGAGAAAAGAATTTATCACCTTAAGAAAACACTGGCACCTAATTATTACAAGTAGAAAAAATTCCCCTCATTCTAAATTTATAAAAATAGAGTACATTTCACTCTTATAATCAGAAAGTCCTTAGCAAACCCATTATTTGTCCTTCAGACTTGTGTGAGAACCCATGTCATTTCCTTATCTGAAGAAACTTTGGGTTTGAACTAGTCTTAGGTATTTGGGAAATAAAAATTTCAGAGGTTTTTTTTTTCTCCTCTATTTTCATGACTGGTATTGTTTCGCTGCAAAAGGACAAAGTTTCAAAGAAACAGAGGTAGAGACGTGTATATATTTGTCATCACCTGAACAGCTGAACTCCTCAGGTACCAAACCCATCTGTATTTTTGAAGACTGTTCTCAGTATAGATTATCACCAGATTATCTAACCTCTCTCCTGGTCGTAGAATAAATGAAATGTGTGTGGGAACTCCTGTTCATTTGCACCACCGCAGTTTCCAACCCAGCTTTTCTTGCTCCTGCCCGCTCTGTGTTACACTACCTCATACGTTAACCATCACAAGTTGTAATCAGTCTGGATGAGAATATAAGACATTGAATGCACATCAAGCTTTATTTTTTTTTTGCTTTTATATGTAGTAATTGATGTCTCTAACACCAAATTTTCCCTCACAAAACAAAATTACGTAATAAAGTAAGTCATACTTATAAGGCACTAATAGCCCTGTTAAATGAGAGCCCGTATTATATGTAAGTATTCTGTACGTAATAAATCTCTAAGAAAATATCCTACAACGGTTTCCTAACCCAAAGTATACTTCAGCTATGTAAAGCATTTTAAATTCTCTATTTCAGAGATGGCGGGGGGGTGGGTGAGACCTAAAGGAAGATTGAGGGGGAGGAAGAAGATGGGAGAATGCAAGGAGGAGGAGTCAGAAGCCAGGTTGTTTAAAAACACCCACTATTCTTCCTCCTCCTAAGGCATTAAGGAAAACATTGGTACAGGGAATACCCACAATGATAAAATTTTAGGTATTTTGAAGTAAGGACTTCTGGCAGCAAATTTTGTGGACCCCTAAAAATGTGCCATGGGCAGACAGTGGGACAAACACTGCTCTCTAGGAGCAAAATAATCTTGAAGGATTATTTATAAGAAACATTATGAGAATGTTTAGACAGCAAAAAAAAATTTTTTTGGTCTGAACCTGATTTCAAATAGGTGTAAGGAATTCCCTGTTCAAGGAAACTTTCATTCACTGATGCAAATCAGAAACTAAAATATAGTTTTAGAAAGTTGCCTGAGGCACTAAGTTATCATTTGCTCCCAGTAAAATAGCTAGTATGTGTCAAAGGCAGGACATGAATTCAGGACTCACTCTAAGCCTGGCCCTATGTCCATTATACCACACTACCTCCAAACATAAGAGATACTATAATTCTTGGTTATAATTTTTCATTTCTATTTTCTTTACCAACATTTTTTTTCCTGGACTTGTAATTTCGTCAGTGTGAGGAACCCAAAATATGAAATCTCTTCCCACTCATCTGAGACATAATAATTACCTTGTAAATGAAGGTTATGTGACTTGCCCACAGTCATACCGCTAGTAACATGTTAGAGGCAGAACTTGAACGCAGATCTTCCCGACTCTAAAATCAGCCCTGTAATCCCTACTCCACAGTGCATTTCATCACCAATAAAAAAACAAAGGCAAAATCCAGGACAAGGTTAAATATAACAATACCCATCCTTCCTTTCTAATACCAAACTGTAAGCTCCCACCTAGAAAGGACTTTTATTTTTGTAGCCATTGCCTACTACATTGTCTTTGAAGGGGTGATTAAAAATGTTTGTTGAATCGAAATAGAACAAAAAACATCAAACAGTAGAGAATAAATCAAACCAATGATTTTTCTTGTCAATCTGGCAGTCAAGGAAACTTGCAACAGCAAGTTTCTAAATATGTCAAGAGTTGACATAAGTTTTTTAACAGTTTCACTTTTAACACAACGTTCAGCTTTCAAACTTTGATTTTCACCAACCCTCTAAAAAAAAAGTAGGTAATCAATCATCTTCCCTGGGAATGTAATTCCTAAGTTTCTTTTCCTTGTTTCTCAAAATAAAGGTTCGAGATCTGGGAGCAAATCTCCTTCTTCTGAACTCCAGGTATCCCTTTATACCTCTTACTGTACTTTCACCTTCTATCCTGTACTAACAAGCAGATATTTCTCATCTCAATAACTAAACTATAAGGTCCATGAACTCTCTTAGCCTTGCATATGGTAGGTCTTCAATAATGTTTGTTGAATGAATGAGATCTTGACCAATTTCAAGTATGAGCTGATTCACTCACTTATTTCTTGTTTAGGATACTAACTTATAGAAGTATCCTTTCAATGTACTGTTTTGCATCTAAATTCTAAAGAGTATACGAACAGAACATTTTGTAGTACTAAAACAAGTAAGAACAGAACTGAAGCAATAGCTAAAATCTTCTTGTCAATCTGACAGGTCCATTAACCTCCAGTGTGTTTTTTTTTAACTGTTATTTTCATTTTTTAACTTTTTTTTCATCACTTTCCATAACCTTCATCAAAATGGTTTGCAATGACATCTGCCTTTGAAAAGCAATAAACATGCAAAAGCTCAACTATGATGAACTGCCATTTTCTGTTGGCAACCACTTAAAAACCAAGCTTTGATACCAAACTATCTATAGTGCTGAGGAATGAAGCTGTAATATCAGTGAGTAGTTTCTTTTTTAAAATTATGCTTTATAAAAATACAGACATTTTTTAGCTTTCAATTCCTTTACACCTCCCAAAAATTGCAGTTTGGTATGTTAACATTCATTTTTATCCTTACTTTTTGCTTCCCAATCCTGGAGGCCCAATCTGTAATATAATTAAGCCAAACTCTCAGATTTTACTTGAGTGATAACCTCATAGTTCTAAATGAAGGAATATAATTTTTTTTTTAAATATCAAATGATGTCTATGTTAGCCTTTTAGCAGGGAACTATACATTGGTGGAGGCTAGTTTGTTTCTTGTGAGTTTTCTGGGGGAAATCCCCCAACACATACACACCTACGGACAGAAATCACACTCCAGATAGCCACGCTTGTTGACCCACCACTTTAAAGGGCACAAAACTTCAACAAGTACTATAGCAGACATTTTTATAGCCTGCTCCAAAGAGCTGAATTCTAGAGAGCAGCACAAGAGAAATCAGAGCAAATTTGCATCCCTAAGCAGCCACTGTCCAACCTGGAGACATCAATAATCACAGGAATTTTTTGTTTTATACATAGAGGGCCACTGATAGGACTTCTCTCATATTCTCAATTCTCAGAATTATTTTCTATTCCTGTATTCATTATCTTCAATTAATCATAAGATATTTTATTTATTCCTTCTATAGCCTATATTGACAGAAGGGAACAAAACTGATACAGCTCATGTATGAACTAACTGTAAAATATCCACATATGTTGATGATTATTAAATTCATAATAAAGAAATATTTTAAAAATAAAATGTTCATCTATCAAATCTTGACCCACAACTATATTTTCCTTATTTGGGAATTGAAAAAACCTCAAAATATGAACCATTAATTCACAAGAATAAAAAATGATAGCATTAAGGAGAAAAATGACTAGGAAAGAAGGCATGCAATGGAAAATGTCATGGAGACCAGATTTTATAAAATTAGTTTTATGTCATCTTATATGGACTCAAATGATAATTGGACAGTAGGAGCCACTAGTTTCCTATTAAACAGAATGAGGCAAAATAGAGAGGAGTAGTTCGTAAGGTCTTTTCAAGATACTGTTGAGTTCAACTGCTAAAACGTAATATATCAGTATTTTTAGGACACAGAGAAGAGACGCAGAACAGTCAAAGACAAAACACTATTTTTAGTAAGAATTTTTTTTTGTTTTGTTAAATCTCAGCTCATCTTCTATGTAGACTCTGCTCTACAACTCACCTATCATCTGTACAAGAAGTGAAAACACAGTGGGAGGGAAGAGAATACAGCACCCTGGCCAGCTTCAGACATTCACATACAAAAACAGCATAGACTAAAGTGAAACCAGCACTTCCCCAAAGACAGGGACAAATCCCAACATATGAAGAAAATGCAATTACCTATTTGAACACAGGCAAGATGATGGAAGGTCTAGTTAGCCTAGTTTGGGAAAAGGTGACTGCTTACTCCTTGTACTACAAGGAAGGAATGAAGGTCCTTTTTAAAAAGCAAAAAGCAAAAACAAAAAACAAGCCCCCAAATGGGTTTTTGATGGTGGAAAACTGTATGTATGCTGCTGGTAATAGTGGTAAATATATATTTATATATGTATATTAAAAAAAGGAAAAATAATCTATTTATAGAACAGTCAGTAGTCAGAGACATTTAGAAAAAAGTAAAAACAAGTTCTTTTCTTTAAAAATGGATTGACTAAAATGACCTCATCACCTAGAGGTACCATAATCCTACATCTTCTGATGAAGCCAGGGCATGACTCAGAATCATCTGTTGCTGCTTCTAGGCCAGAATCTGAAATAGCCAGTGTTTAGAATGGTAGATTATGGGTCAGGACTACAAGGTGAGCAGTTACATGGTGGTCTTGCTTATGATCATGCCTAAAGCCTGGTGATGACAGGAATACTTGTAAAAGGATGTTATGCCAAAAGCATGCACCACTGTGGCTCTGCAAGACAACCCATCTGGCCTTTTTTCTTTTTCTTTGTGCAGAATCCTGGGTCCATGTAGTTGTTCCTTTCCAATACGTAGGCCCAGGATACTGGGAATCCTCAAAGCCAGTCTCTATAAGAGAAGCTGTTGCTCTTGGAGGAAATAAGAAACGCTCTTCTTTCCAAGATCCAGCCTAACCAAACATCTGAATTGAGATGGTATTCTCCACATTCGGTGGTCTGCCCCAGCTGAAGGAAAGCTCCAGGTTTTCTTTTTTGGTACAAACAAGCACTAGGAACTGACGTTTGCAATATGCTGCTTTTCCACCTGACTTCTAACAGAACCTGCAGATCTGCCCTCCCTTCAATAGCTGTAGAATATTAAATGCTTAGAAATAGTGGAAGGGGACTAAGGTATTCTGACTATCTTGCTGTCCCATTCAGGCAGGCCCAAGGCACTCTGGTTCCATACATGCCTACAAATAGTGCTGCCATTAAGTTGCGAATCTCTAGCTAATGCCTACAGGCCCCAAGCCAGCTCCACACCCCAGCTATATAAGCCACCCTACTGCTCAATCAAGTCTCTGAACACAATGCAGGACACCACACTCACGAGAAACACTTCAGTTAAGATAACGGCTGGAATACCAAAGAAGACATCTCTGCATAGATGGGCTGGTACAGTATGTGGCTCACACAGTCCCACTGCATAGAAAAAGCGAGGAGGGCTTTCTCTGCTGTAGGCCATTCGTCTTTGGAAGCAACAACTCTGAGCAGATCCAAACCACCCTCCCTTGATGAAAAGGGTCTCAGTGTGGTCCATTTCCCTCATGTTCTAAACTAACCAAGCTTCTGCTAGCTGGCCTCCTTCAGTCCCTCCACTGGAAGCTTGTAGCTCATTATGAAAGAAGGAGGTTGTGCCTGTCCTGGGCTACTTGGCCCCTGCTTCTTTGCACAGTTTATACAGATGTAATCTTCATTTTCTGCCATTTCTGGAGAAACACCCACACAGACTTGATGAAACCACTCATCGCAGCCACCATCACACTGTACCCAGTCTACCTGTAGGAGATAAGATTGAGAGGGCTTTAGGACAGTTAGCTATCCCTAGGGTGAAAGTAAAGTCAAGGCAAAATAAATTAACAGCTTACTTTTTACATAACTACTGTTTTGTAAGTATTTCAGTATTATTTACATCCACTACCTCATTTTAACCTCACAACAATTCTGTGAGGTAAGTGGGACAAGCACTATCCCCGCTTTTCAGATAAAGAAGCTGAGGTTTAGAAAGATTAACTAGCTTGCCCAAGATCGTGTGATTAGTAAATGGCAGTCAGAACTTGAACCCAGATCTTCTGACTCCCAAGTTCACTACTATGATTTATTCACTATACCAATGGTTCCCAACCTATAGGGCAAGAATGTCTGAGAAACTACAGACATTGCAAAGACTTCAAAAATCCATATGTGCGCCAATGTGACTTCTATCTTCATTCAACTCCATAAAGATACATAGCGGAACTCTCTCTCTCTCTCTCTCTCTCTCTCTCTCTCTCACACACACACACACACACACACACACACACACATGTATGTATGTATATGTGTGTATATGTATATATGTTCCAAATGTACTGCAATTTTTCCAAATGTACATATTTCGCAAATTTATAATAAAATACAAATTTATTTTAAAAGCATTGCTGAATTAACAGTAGATTTCTATAGATGTCAATTTTTTCTTATTCAGTAATAACAGTGCAACTACTATCATATGGGGCATCTGCGAAATTTCTGACATTAAAAAGTGTCCTTTATTCCCAAAAGTGAAGAACCATTCCATAATACTAAGCTACCTCTCAAAAGAAAAGCTGTTCAGGTTATGCTGGCGGAAAATGCCCACTGCCAAGACAATTTCTATTTCTTCTTTACAAAAGGGGGTGGGGGGAAGCTAGGCAGTTATCTGAAAGTTAGCTGTACTAATAAAATTGGAATAATTCTCAAGTGGTTTTGTTTCTCCATGAATATCTGTCATCAGAACCCAGTTGATACATTCTGGCAGATCTTCACCTGCCAATCTCTCATAGTACTCACTGAGCACTAAGGTAGCATTATGGTTCTGTCTTGCAGATCTCAACCCAAATCCACAAAATTTCTGTGTTTGTCAGACCCAGTATCTGTCAGTCTAACAGGAACATCAACATCACTTTACTTTTGTTCCCAACCCCTGGTGGCTTACTCCCAGATCACATGCTTCTCAAGTTTACTAATCTAATCAGGGCTATTGCCCCAGACTATCTTTTAGAAGAAAGACTACAGTAGTCATTGTTGCCACAAATATTAATTGCTTTTATAGTGCCTTCCCAAATGAAATTCATTCCTTGTTCTCTGTAAGAAGTCTGGCTTTTGAACTCAAACTGTGCAGCACAAAGAATAAGTAATTAGAATGTACCTATCCCAGCAATAACGTACTAAAGCCAGAGAAGGGAGTTAATCACTTCTATGCATCAAAGGAAAAATAAAGACACTTGTAGATGTATGTGATTTAAGAAGCTGTTAATTGGATAGTAGATACAAAAAGGACACTCAGGAGGAGTATGTTGGCTACTTTGGAACATAAGAACAGTTACTCTAATTAGAGGGATGAACTTTTATTTCTCTGGGCAACTTGAATATGACATTATTATCCTTTTTATGAGCTAACCCACAGACCTTTTCTCTAACTCTCTTAACTTACAACAGTCACCACTCGCTGCTTGCCCAAATGTCAAATCAGTTATCAATTACCTACATTTCCATGTCCTGAACTTTTCCTGACATCTTATCCTTCACTATTATATAACCACTGGGCCCCAGTTTCCTCAGGATCATACATACACACGTACGGATTTATCTTTCTCTCAGCCAAGAGCAAGAAGGAGACAAGCTCAGTTCTCCTTTTTTACCCTGGTAACTAGCTAGATATCCCTTCCCAAAGTTAGGATCTCTTACGACCTTTGTAAAGAATAAGGTTTCCCTTGAAGCACAACTATGTTGGTTATAAAGAAAAATTATACGTTATATGCCAACTTATATCAATAAATTCTTAATCTTGTTTCTCTGAAATTTGACATATTTTGCTCTATCATCATCAACTTGGACTCCTTTTTAAAAAAAAAAATTCAAAAAGGAGGCCCATGATTACTCAGAAGTTAAAAGGTTGAGAAGTTAATTAATACTGTAGAAGACTAATAAAATTCAGTGGGAGAAGCAGATGCCTAACAAACTCAAGAGTAATGTTTCAAATTTCACTTTAGTCACTCAGTCATTAGATGTTACTTTGTTGTTCATTGTTTCTGGTGGAATAAGAACATTTTTTACTTTACAGAGGCACTTAACAGTAATAAAAATAAAGAACTCTAAAATGTGAGTTGCTCAAACATTAATCAATAATGATGAAAAAGAAATGTTCAACTTACAGCACAAAGCTATTTCAAATGGGAGAGGGGGAACAACATACGAGAGAAAGCAACATGGTAAATAACATGTCACTCTTTCATATTTTTAATCCAGGGAACAGTAAGAAATTTAAACCTTCTAGAGAATATAATGAATAAATATGCCTGGAAATGGATAAAAACTTCAATAGTATCTAAAGTTTCTTCTGATGCTAAGGAAGCATCATATAAATTTATCAAGTTTTAATGTCTCAAAGATTCTTCCTCTATATATTTCAAATTCTCACCATTACCTAATGAAAATGTCATTATATAATTGCTCTACCTAAGCCTTAGAAGTGAGATATTGGAATGATCTCATCACAAGTACCTGAAATGTCTTTATTACCACTGAATTTGAAATGTCCTAAAATTAATAGTCATTTAATGCCATAAGTAATAAATGCAACCAAATCAGTTACTAAAATTTTCAATCAAAAAGTCTTATTTTCTCTATACATTTTTGAAAACTTTATTATCATCATTTGTTGTTTTTTTTTTTTAATTTAGAGCTTCTAATAAAAGGAAACAGAAGATCTCACTACTAGGAGTATATATTCTAAGCTTACTGACAGCAAGAAAAGACGACTGTGTACAAAAACATTCACAGTGGTATCATTTGTAGTAACAAATTCTGGAAACAAAGTATGTGCCCAGCAATTGGAATAGTTGAGAGAATTCTGACACATGAATGTAATGGTATACTATGGTGCCATGTGGAATGATGAATGGGTGAATTCACTTAAAAAAAACAAACAAGCCATGGATATACCCTTTGACCCAGCAACACCACTACTGGGTCTGTTTCCCAAGGTGATCAGGGAAAAAAGAAAATTTATATGTCCTAAAATATTTGTAACAGTTCTCTTTGTGGTGGCAAAGAACTAGAAATTGAGAGGATGCCCATCTATTGGGCAAAACAAGTTGTCATATATGATTATGATGGAATACTACTGCACTGTAAGAAATGCAACCAGAAAAGCTGGTTGATTTTAGAAAAACATGGGAAGACTTGCATGAAATAATGAAAAGTGAGCAAAAACAAGAGAATGTTCCATACGGTAACAGCAATGTTGTTCAAAGAATTGTGAACAACCAAATAATTCTGAGTACTATAAATATTCAAATCAACCATAAAGATCTATAAAGGAAGATGTTATCCACCTCCAAAAAAAGAACTGATAAATAGAAGTAAGCACAGTATGGTTTTACATACATTTATAAATTTGTGTCAAATGGTAGCCTTCTCTAATGTGGGGTGGGGAGGGATCCCTGGGAGACAGATTGGAACTTAAAATGTAACCAAAAAAAATTAAGTTAAACAAAAACAAAGCAAAACAAAACAAAACAAAAAAGCATGGAAAGACATGTATAAAGTTACACAAAGAAAACAGCTAAAAACAACATACAAAATAACTACAACAGTATAAATAATGCCAACATGCAGAGATAACTAAAACTCGATCAACTACAACAGCTAATGTTAGTACTATACTGGCCAAATTAAAGGACACATCCCTTCTTTCTGTTAAATAATAATTAAACTTTTTTCTCAGGGAATGTACTTCCTAAGTGTGTTTACTTGAGATTTTTTGTGTCAAAATGTCAAGAAATTTATAAACATAAATAAAATAAGAGTTGGGGTCATGCCAGAGACTGAAAATGAATGACAAAGGTAGAGTTAGTATTTCCTATTTTATGTTCATCGACTCTAAGACCATAGCAGATTAATGAAGATGTATAGTCTCTGGCTTTGATAAAATCTATAAACCTCCCCTAGGCTCCAGGGTTTCCAGGATTTAAGCAAGGGGTTGAAAAAGATAACATTTCATTTAGACTCCATAGGTTAAACAATACACATTAAGCTCGGAATCTGGCAGAAGGCAGAACCAAGTAAACAATTTTTCAGTCCCACTCCCCCACCTCAGTGTCAGCCCACTAAAAAGCACAATTTTCTAAAGTAGCTAGCTCAGTATTCTTATGGTTCCTGATAAAAGATTTGGTTCTAACGTTCACATAACACATCACAGCAAGACAGGACAAGCACAGAATCACACAGTGAGAGTTGGACGGGATCTCAGAGGTTAACTAGCTGAACCCATACCTCAAAAGAAAGCCCCTCTATAGCATCCCTAACAAATGATCACCTTGCTTTCACTTAACAAAAAGGGGGAACTACTCCCAAGGCAGTCCATTCTACTTTTCAACAACTCTAATCATTAACAAGCAAGGCTTGATGCATATATGTGATGCATAATGCTACAATCTTTTTGGAAAATAATCTGATAGAGCACTAAAACTTCAATTTTCTTAAATGTATTTCTTAATTTATATCATAACTTTTGATTCAACAATCCTATTATTATCCTATGCCCTAACAGTATTAGTAAAAAGGAAAAAAGCTAAGCTAGCTATTCAAAGATATTTATAATAGTATCATTTGTACCTTTAAAAACACCAGAAATCAACTTACAGTATGACATACCAGAATGAGCACCAGATTTGAGGTCCAAGAACCTGAGGCTGAATCTTGGTCCTGCTACTGTCTACCTAAGTGGCTTGGGAAAGTTAACTTACCTTTCTGGTTCTGTTTCCTCATTTGTAAATTAAGTGGTTGCATTCAGTCATCTCTAAAGTTCCTTCCAGCTCTAAATTCTATGATCCTACAATCCTAAATGTACAATTTGGGAGTGACTAAACAAATTATACTAAATTAATGTAATGAAATAATACACTGCAATTGAAAACAACAGCCAAGGGGTCAACATGGTATAGTGGAAAGAATGCTGGCTCTAGACTCATAAGACCTTGGTTCTAATCCCACCTCTGATCCTCTGTGACTGGGGGTGAGTCACTTTAACCTCTCTGGGTTTCCTTATCTGTAAAATCAGGGAGTTGAATCAGGGGGCTCCAGCTCTAGATTTACAATCCTACAAACAATCATGAGAAATACAAAGACGTACGACGTGGAGAACATAGGAACAAACTATCAGCACACACATTTATGACAACTATAAAGAAGGAAAAACAAACATAAATACTGGGTGAAGATGGACAATACAGAAGGGAATACAGGGAGGAATGGATAGGTGTGTTATAGATACCTTTATGCTAAAGACTTTTTAAAAATTCTGAATGTAAAATTCTGAATGTTAAGAGTAAATTTAATTGGCTTTGTAATTAAAGCTGCATTCATGATGAATTATGAAGTAAACACGTGCATGCTAACAGTTGTATTGCTGCTCCTTGCATCTGCCTATGTTCATCAACATATTCTAGTTTTGCTTTATTTTAATGAGTGACTTTCCTACTGGACGTTATCCCAGTGGCCTAGGTGCCTCACGATTTACCAGGGTTTATAAAAAATGCAGAAAGCAAATTATTTCAAAGGCCAATTTGGGCTGCACCAAGAACAGACTGTCATGTTACATCTATACTCTCATAAGCTGTTAGCTTTTGGAAGTCAAAATCCTTCTTCCTCTCTTACACCTGGTTCAGGGAGGGATGAGCTAGGATTTACCTTGTCCTTACAAGGCCTCTGGCAGTTCTGTGCTGCACAAACTGCATTCTCATCATCGGACTCCTCTGCTCCTGACCAATCATACTTTGAAGGGATGTCCAGCACCTTCTTCTCCCTCTTCTTCTCAGTATTTTCCTTTACAAGTTCAACCTTGGCTGCAGCAGCCTTCTCCCTCTTTTTCTTCCTTTCCTCTTCCTTTGCCAGTTTCTTGGCCAATTTGTTCAACTCCTTTGACTTGTCTACACTCATCTTCAACTTCTTCTTTTTTGGTTTGTCCAGTTTCTTCAGTTCCTTGGACCTCTGCTTCCCTTCTCCAAAGAGCTGCTCAACTTTTTCCAGTTTCCGCTTTCGCTTCTTCTCAGAAGAGTCCTTTCCTTTTATTCTCAATGGTTTCTCTTCCATACTGTCATCCTTTAGGGAGATAAAATTAGAAATTTCATAAAACTCAGGAGCTTTAAAATTATTTCCACAATGTGGAACAATAAAAAAAGCAATTAGGAATTGTGAATGAAAATTGACAAGAACTAGGGGCAGCTAGGTGGCGCAGTGGATAGAGCACTGGAGTGCCACTGAGTTCAAATCTGACCTCAGACACTTCACACTCACTAGCTGTGTGACCCTGGGCAAGTCACTTAACCCCATTGCCTAGCAAAATACAAAGAAAAAAAAGAAAAAATAAAATCAGCAAGAACTAAACAGGGGCAGCTAGGTGGCGCAGCAGATACAGCACCGGCCTTGAATTCAGGAGGACCTAAGTTCAAATTTGGCCTCAGACCAAACACTTGACACTTACTAGCTGTGTGACCCTGGGCAAGTCACTTAACCCTAACTGCCTTAAAAAAAAAACTAAACAATAAAACATGCCTCTTTCCGAGTTTTTAGGCTTCCTAAAGAAAAGAAACTAAAAATTAAAAAAAAAAAGATGAGCCCAAATGCATTCACAAGCAAATTCAAAAAAACTTAAAGAAGTAACTCCAAATTACATATATGTTTTCTCAAAACACAGCAAGATAAGTAGGCTACCTAATTCCCTCTATGAGGCAAATATGATATTGATCCATAAACTGTCCAAAGACATAGCTAAAAAAGAAAACTATAGACCAATATAATTAATGAATGAAAAGCAGGCAAAATAGGGGAAAACATGAAATAAGATTAATAATCATTTAAGAAGTTACAAAAAGGAAATTTGGGATGGTAAAGTAATACTTACAGAGTGAAGTTTTGAAAAACTAATGAAAGGAACTTGAAAACTGGACTGGACCTAATTTAAGGGTTATGTTGACCCAATTTCTAAGCTATATATATACAAAAGTTATAGTACAGTTTCCAAAGAATGGCAGCTGTAATGTTCCACTCCTGATAAAAGTTTCTCTCTTCTTTCTCTCTCTTCCCATTCCCTTCAATCTTGCTTCTTCTCCTATATATGTTACTACTTTATTTTACCACTACCTCTGCCTATGTTTTATGCCTTCTAACAGTTACTCTTAGCAAAGCTTGGTAATGTGGTATAGTAAGTGTCAGACTTGAGTCAGGAAGACAAGTTCATATTCCTCTTCTGACACTTAACAGCCATGGGCAAGTCATTTAAATCTCTTTAAGCCTTAGTGTCCTCATTTGCAAGATGAGAATTGTAATACCTTTAGTACCTGCACTGCACAAGGACTCGGTGAAGTTTAAAAGAGATTATTTAAATGTATATAAAGCACTCTGCAAACCTTCAAGTGCCACATGAATGTTAGTTATTATGGCTTTAGCTCCACTGGCAATACTCAGGATTAATGGGAGGGTTAATATTCTACTCTAAAAGTAAGTTTTAAATCTGTACCTCCATGACATGCAGGAATCTGTCCTCAGAAGGTGGATGTGTGGCCTGTAAGATCCGCCAGATGTGTTGAGTCTCATCCAGAGACACCTCTAGGAGATCACCAACCATCATAAGTTCCTCTAATTGAGCTTTGGCGCCAGCTGATAACTCCAACACTGGAGACTCCAAACTTCGGGGCACCAAAGGACTCTTTCTGGGTTGTTTCCTTGGAGTACTAGAACCTTTGCAAGCAGAGACAATAAGTTAAAAAGTACAAAAAACCATGAGAAACTATAATATTTATGACAAAGTAAATTTTTGCAGTGGAAGTCTTAATCCTGGTAACTGCATTAGATACTACAAATATATCATTATGGATTAATGTAAAAATAAAATATGAAATATATAAAATGACCTTTGCCCCAATACCCTTATTCAAAAGTTCCTTCTATACAAAAATGGATATAAAAAGATACTCAGGATTTTGAAACTATTTCTTTTTCCATAAACAAATACAGAAATCTCTTAATATAGCTTTGCCCTCACCATACTAGGGGATGGAGTTATGCTTCAAAGCAAAGTACTCATCCTCTGAATGAAGGGATAAAAATGTGTGTGTGACCTACTCTATTAGATTTCACTATAGAGATATAAAACTCACTTATATCTCACTGGGGTGTGTCTAAGGTTCAGAATGCTACAATTCCAAGTCAAGAAGAATACAGTAAACCATTTTCATAAGTATACATTAAAGACTAGAAGGCAAATTATTATTGGGTACTACTTTCTTTTCCTTTTCTTTTTTTTTTTTTTTGGCTAGGCAATGGGGTTAAGTGACTTGCCCAGAGTTCCACAATTAGTAAGTGTTAAGTATCTGAGGCAGAATTTGAACTCAGGTCCTCCTGACTCCAGGGTCAGTGCCCTATCCACTGCACCATCTAGCTGCCCCGGGTACTACTTTATATAAACTGTAATTTAAATTGTTACTCTTCTTGTAACAACAGAAAAATGGATCCTGAACCTTCAGAAGAACCTCAGAAATTCTTTCAAATAGTTATCACTGTGTTCCTACAATTTTCCTTACGCAAACTGGAGAAAAGAGAGGAGCCACAGCACACATACCAATTAACTACCAGGCCCATACCTAATTTACAATTAATTACTTAGCCCACAAGATGCAAGGCCTGGTCTATTGTATTGTTTCCTTCAAGTATTTTATCACACAATCTAATGTGATGAAATTTAACAAGATGAAATGTAAAGCTCTAAACTTAGGTTTAAAAAATTCCATAAGAATAGCATCTTATGTGAAAAAGACATGAAGGTTTTAATTGACCCAAAGCTCAATAAGCCAGCATTATCAGCTCATTGATATATATATATCGGGAGGTAGAATTATTCATATCAAGGGAGATCATGGTCTCACTGAGTTCTACACTGATCAGAAAATGTCCAGAACAGTGTTGAGTTCTGAATGGCATATTTTAAGCAGGAGAATTCACAAACTGGAACATGTTCAAAGCAACTAGGATAGTGAAGAGATCTAGAAACTGTCTTATAAAGAAATGAAGAAACTAAGAATGTTTAAATAGAAAGAAAAAAGAGGTTCTGGTATAAGGGATGGAGGCAAGAGATATGAGAGTTGAACTCTATCTTTTAAAAGAAGGCAGTTAGGGGCAGCTAGATGGTGCAGTGGATAGAGCACAGGCCCTGGAATTAGGAGGACCTGAGTTCAAATCTGACCTCAGACACATAATACTTCCTAGCTTTGTGACTTTGTGCAAGTCACTTAACTCCAATTGCCTCACTAAAAATAAATAAATAAATAAAGAGGCCAGTTAGACTTATTCTAAAAAATTCTATAACACTATGAATTACAACTGAAACTTTCAAATTATCTTTCACTAGATTCAAGTGATATGTACCACCACTTCCCAATGATTCAAGGTAGCAGCTTTGACTAGAAATTACAGTTAGTACATTGATCAGCAATCACATGACAATTTATACAGCAAAATTTTGATCAACTTTAATCAACACAATGTCTTTCTCTTTTTGGCTTTAGGCTCATCTCCACCCCACACATATAAACAGAGGATTAATACCTTGAGAACAACTCTTTGAAGCAGACGAATAGGCATGTTCAGCACAGAATGATGGCGCTGTCCACATATGTGTCACCACCTCCTCAGATTTGATGGGGATCTCTTCATCACAAAAGAGATTGGGTTCCAAGCTACTCGAAGACTTTACACTGGCAGTGTCCTGAAGAAGAAACCAAAAGAGTGTTATCATTATACAGTAAGTGAACTTGGCTTACGACTAAATTGTTAAAGGAAGATTTCGGGGCTGTAGCTTCCTGTAGAAAACATCAATAATCTATTACTGCAAATCAAATTTACAGCTTTGTGTAGCACATTGAAAAATAAACATTTTTGGAGAATGCATGGCAAGCTGTATAGTATTAAGTAAAAAGAAAAACAGCAAATCTTCTTCATAAATCTATACAAAAGATCCAGTAGCAAATTACAATTAAGAATACTGATTTTCTACATCTTACAATACAATATTGTTGCTACTTCTGTAACAGATAAAGATATTGTAGAACTTAAAAAGAAATGGTTTCATTTAAAAAAGGAAGTAAAATTCTAGATATAGATTCTCAGGGTAGGGGAGGATGGAGAATTCACAGAGGAAAGGACTGTTCTGCTATTTTCAGAGGCTTTCCAGTTGCTCTTAGCATAGAATCTACCTGTTAATATCAAAATCACATAAAATTTAGCTCTAATTTAAAAAACCCTGAAGTCATACACTTTGCCCCAATCAAGTTATAGTCTACAACACGATGAATGAGAGAGAGAGTTCAGATTATCTTGAATAATCTCAAATTGAACATGCCTGGAAGTTTTTTTTACGAGTCATAACTAGTTATGGAAAAAAAGTACTTGTGAGAAAGGCTTTAAAGGTGATTCTAGAAAACAATGTCCCCAGTTAATACCACCAATGAAGAACATAGAAATAAGAGATAAAGGATCCTCCCCATATGAGAACCTAACTTACAAAAATGTCAAACAAGGGAGAGCACACAACTCCTATCTTATATTCTAGGAGACTCTTATCAGCAACAGGAATTTATTCTCTCTTATTTGATTTTGGCTTTACTGATTTCATTCCCACTCATAGGGGGGAGTTTCTGCTAAACTTTCAAATAAAAGGACAAGGACCAACAAAGAATGATGAAAATGAAGGTGGTGGAGAGTTTAACAGAAATACATAAGTTAAAAAAATACTCTTCTGAGGGAAGACAATTTCAGTCAATCCTATATAAAGACTAAGACAGACAAAGGTGATTAAAAGACCACATTGTACCAATGTGAAAGACATGTTATAAATGCTGATGCACTACTGGTGGGCCCTGTTAAGTGGCCCTTTGTAACTTGATCCAGTAATAACCCTGAGAGTGGAAGAGAATTAAGTATTTATATAGCACCTGCTCTGGATCAGGCACTGTGCTAAGCACGTTACAAATACAAATTATCTCATTTGATCCTTACAACAACCCTGTGAAATAGGTGCTTATTACTACATTTTACAGTTGAGGAAACTGAGACAAACAGAGGTTAAGTGACTTACCCAGGACCACACAGCTAGTAGGTGTCTAAGCCTGTATTTTAACTCAGATCTTCCTGACTCCAGGCCCCAGGTTCTATCCACTGTGCCACCTAGCTGCCCTATAAGCTTCTACTAGGCTTATATCCCTAAAAGATCTAAGACAAAGGAAAAGAATCCAAATGTACAAAAATATTTTTAGCAATACTTTCTGTTTTAGAAAAGAACTGGAAACAAATTAGGGTGCCCAATAATTGGAGAAAGGCTGAACAAATTATGATATATTAATATAACAGAATATTATTGTGCCATAAAGTCATGAAAAGAACAAATTCAGAGAAACTTGGGGGAAACTGTATGGATGATGGGGAGTGAAGACATCAGAACCAGAGGAACAATTTACATATTGACTTCAACACTGAAAAGGACAATAACTTTCAAAGACTTATGAACTCAGGTCAAGACAATGACCAATCATGACTCCAGAAGAATGATGAAGTACACTTACCATCTCTTGACAGAAGTAATGACAATAGATACAGAACGTAACATGTAAACCAATTTGACACTTAACCAACACAACACAAATTTGTTTTGCTTGATTTTATTTATTTGTAACAAGGGACAGCTTATCTTCTCCACAATGCAAGGACCTAAGACAACTCCAAAAGACTCATGATGGAAAATGCTATCCACATCCAGAACTTAGGAGTCTGAATATAGATGGAAGCATACTATTTGCTCTCCTTTTCTTTTCTTTTGTTGTTTTGTTTTGTTTCTTCTTTCTTGAGGTTCCTCCCATTAGGTCTAATTCTTCTTTACATCATGTGAAAATATGTTTAATGTGCATGTATAAGTAGAGCCTATATCCAGTTACAAGCTGTCTTGGGGAGGGGGGAGGAAAAGAAGAGGGAGAAAATTTAAGACTCAAAATCTTATGGAAGTGAATGCTGAAAACTATAAATAAATTAATTATAAAAAAAACCCAAGAAGTCTTGGGGTTAAGTGAGGTGGAATAGGTGACGCAAACCAAAAAAAAAAAAAAGAACATCAATGAAACACATAAAAGAATGCATATGAGAAAGTAGAATGAAACTTAAAAGCGGACAATAAAGATAACTGCATAAAGGCAGACTTACAGTTTCATATACAATCCTTTTTTTCTGTTCTTTGTATATAGAAGTGTTCATCCACAGATAACTTGTCAAGGTCATAATACTGAAAATATCTTTTTTAAAAAGAAAGGTGTATCATGCACACACAGACTTAAAGATCTTCCACACCAACTGATTTAATACTAAGTGGAGTTACAGTCTCAGTTGGAGGCAATACCCTGAAAGTTTATTATCCTCAAATAATGCTTAAGATCCCACCGCGTTGCTCAGGGGGAAGGATAAACATAAAAGAGCCTCCATATTAAAGATATGCCTTCTATTGGGAGGAGCAGTCAGTGGCACCTCCTAGGATTTTGTTGTGGTGCTATTTGTTATTGATCCTCTTCCGAATCAATCATCTTGCACATATGAGCACTTGAAACATGTTTATGATAATATGGCCTGGGCAGTTAGAAATAAAGGGTCAGCAAAATGTCTAAAAATGAGATACCTCTAAATAAGTGGACAGAAGTATCATTAAAGAATGCAAACTTTCAAGAAGAATGCTCCAGTGACAATGGAAGAAAACTGAAGAAACAAAGAAGTCAACATATGACTATATCCATCAGGACTATACTCAAGAAACCAAATTTTGCTAAGTTACACGTTGTGGTAAACAAAGAATCACTGAACTCACTCCTTCCAATCATTTCTGAGTCATCAAAAGGTGCCTATGAGCATAAGTTAAGGTCCTTTAAAGTTTTTTTAAATAAATTTTTATCGATATCTTTTATTTTTACATCATTTACATTTCTCACTGTACTTCCTCCCTTTTCTATTCCCAGAGAGTCACTTGTTATAACAAAGAATAAAAAAGAAAAAAAAAAATGGCTGAACTAAAGCCACTGAGAAAAGTCTAGCATTATCCGTAGCATTTCACATCATAATCCTCCACTTCTTCCAAGAAGGGAGGAATGAACTTTCTCACCTATCTTCTTTGGAGCCATGCTTAGTCACCATAATTTCACAGAATTCAGTCAGTTGTTTTGTTGGAGGTTTTTGCATTTACAATGTAATAGTCATTGTGTAAACTGTTTTCCTGGATCTGCTGACTTCACTTTGCATCAGTTCACTTAAGTCCTTCCCATGCATCTCTGCATTCATCATATTCACTCTTTCTTACAGCAAAGTGATATTCATGAACATTTATGAGTTTTACTATTACAAAAAGTACTACTATAAATATTTTTGTGTATTGGGATAGAGCTTTTCTTTTTGTCATCTGTCATATACCTTAGGGCCTATGCCTAGCAGTGCAATCTACGGACCATGAGCATTTGTGTCAGTTTCTCCATATAATTTCAAATTATTTTACAAAATGGTTAAACTAATTCACAGCTCCAATAAATAGTGCATTATTGTCCCTCTCTTCCTACATAAAGTTAATGGGAAGTGAAGTGAAGTGAAACAAGACACTTATAGAAAACACCATTAATTGGGCAATTTGAGAAATGGCATGACAGTTGTGGTCAGAATTCTGTTTCTGCCCAAACTACTCCAACCTTTTTCTCAAATGAATACAAGGCCCTTTCCTTAAGGGAAAATATCAGACTCAAATCATTATGATAAAGAAATTATAACAACAAAGGAAAAAATCACCAGCTTAATGGCATGGCTTCAGTTTTATAGCCAAATGTTCCAGAGTGAAGAACTGTCAAATGAAACCTTTACTACATAACAAGTGCTCACTCAATTGGCAAATGCCTAATGGGATCAGAATAATAAAGAGCTCAGGGATGCCAGAATCAAAATAAGATTAATCCTGAAGCTCTAAGATTCTTGTCACTATTCTGCCAATATGCTTAACCTTCAAAAGTACTGCTAACTCAATCAAACACAATTGGAGACTTTTTGAAACCTTCCTCCCAAAAACCAGGTAGGAAATTCAGCAAAATGACACCACCCAGAACACAAGAGAGCCTATCCAAGAATCATAAAATCTCAAAGTTAGCAAGACTTCAGATTATCTAATCCAACACATCCCTAAATCAAAACTGAGACAATGCCAATTGATCCATAGCTCAACTGAGCCAAAACTAATCCGTAGCATTAGAGTCACACAATGACCAACTAAGGTTGCCTTTTCAGCTTACTAAACTGCTTTCAAACAAACTTCATCACTACATAGAGTGTCTAGCCACTCTACATCACAGCTGGTGATAGCTGTTTAGCTGCTATAGAACATTACACGATGCCAAGTATGATCCCTTTGGCTCCAGTACTAAAAGATCTTTATCAGGTTTGGTCTAGATGTCAGCTTTTTTTTTCCCTGAATGCCGTTAAACTGGCATATTAGTGAGTGAATGAAAAAGCTCTTATTAAGGACTTAGTACGTGCCAAGCACTATATTAACTCCCTTCCAGAATTTGCTGGTTTTCCCACTATGCAGCAGAAAGGGTCTTTGATTTCCAGCAAGTAACATTCTATTTCCAAAATATATACTAGAGTTTGTGAAGTCCTAAATCATTTAGGGGTTACATTAATCTCTAATCTGTTCACTATGTGTGTCCTTGTCAGCTAAAAGTAAGGTGGATAGATACCCTTGGCAGGCCAAGAAAGCAGGAGTTAGAAACCAAACCAGAACCTGAGAGTTTACTAAAAAGTCGCTCAGACATCTATATCATGAGTCAGAATAATTCCTTTAATGGCATGCTGTTATTAGTACAAGTCTGAGCAATTAAATGAAATGGAATGGCCTGGGAATAGGTCCTATCATTAGTCTTGATTTCTGCGATCATGGTGCTCAGGTTTATTTACAGTTACACTAGAAATCCAACCTTTTTGAAGGCTATTATAATCCACACAACTGAAGGTTCTTTCATGAAGAATTAGAATTCAGGTTTACCTCATGAAAATTGCTTTCTAGCGGACATATTTATAAGGGTATATGATGGTTTTAATTTTACATTTCGAGAGTTTTACTGCAGATGGAATTCACATTCTTAAGACTGAGTGGCACCCACCTGCTCTGCAAGGAAAACAAGAGAGAGTTTAACCAAAAAAAAAAAATTTTGTAGTTCTTTGGCAGGAGCCTCCTAACTACAAAAGTAACAGTATCCTGATTATATGCACAATTGTGAAACAGGCTCATTCTGAACCAGCAAATTTTTCTTTTCAGGCACAGATGCCACTGCTAGTTAAAAAGCTGAAAAACTAGGCAACTTACATTAACAAATAATGGAATACAATTCAGTATAATGCTGACATTCTAAAAGGACCCCCTTACCACCAATATGGTATATGTATATTGATGTCAATATAGTCATTGAAATAATATTTATCTTCCATATATCCTTACTATGGGACTACATATTACCTATCTGTGAAATAATATATAACTTGCATCATGAAAACAGGATCTGAATAAGAGGTTCAAACAAACTGGACAAGATCTCATAATCCTAAGACAAAATAATGGTAAATTGACATCACAAAAGTTTTAAGGAACTAAAACACATGCTTTCCCCAGAGTTTCTAAACATCAAGTATAAGCAACTTTAAAAATTGAGATTTAAAAAAAGACAGAATGACTTTAAACAAAACAAAGAATATAAAACATCTTTTCCATTATAATTGTGGAGTGGACTCAGCTGAGAAAATAATTTTTCACCCTTAACTATTTAATATGTCTAGTTGGTATCCATGTTCAATATGACCTTTCTATTTAATTACCTTCATATCATAGCCATATGTCTCCCGAATATCTTCATCGGAATCTGTCTCTTCATCATCATAGTCCATGGTTTGTCGAGGGGAGGATGACACACTGCTTACCACCCGATTAAAAGCAGACTGCTGGAAACCAGGAAGGTGTCCCTAAATATAAACAATGCCAGGATGAAGAAAGAAAACTTTTGAACATATGCATGGAAATAAACCATATTTAGGGCTAAGGGAATAACCTACGGACAGCTTTAATAGCTAGTGATTACACTCTATGTCTGTGATTATAATGCCAAGCTATACATGAAAGAAATCAATATGATAAAATCTCACTAGAATGAATACTATTATAAAGAACTCTTCATAAAGCTACTTTCAACTCTCAAAATTACATTTAAAATCCTCAAATTCTACAATATGGAAATAGTTTTAGTTTTATAGTCCAAAGTACAAATATTACACTTACATGGTTACAAATTTCTCCAGGAAATAACAAAATCTTTCTCTTTGATTACTATTCATGCAGTAGTCACTAACCAAATTACCTCCTGATAGACATGGGAAGAGAAGGTAGGTGAACTAAATATAAACTAAACTTTCACATTTTGTCCTGCCATAAAATAATAATCTCTCTCTCTCCCCTACTTCCCCCGATCCCTTCCTCTTTCTCTGAAACATCTATCTACCAATGTACGTCAGCACCAACTTTGCAATTTATAGTCTATAAAGTTGCCTATGAGCACTGAGAGGGTGACTGCCTTGCCCAGTATGCATCAGAGGTAGGTTTTGAACCAGTCGTGTTAATGGCCAGAACTCTACCTACTACCCCACACACCTCTCTGAGTAAAGACTCATGCATATACTTCTGTGTCATGAGACTAATCCCGTACTTACTAATTTGTCAGTTAAAGCTACCAATAAGTCTTAAGTCATAGGTATAGTTGTACTGACCACTAAAAGGGTCTTGGTGACATGGGTAACTGAATTATTGACTCACTGACCAGTCATCTGCTTTTTGTAAAGTCTAGTTTGGGTGGATTCAAACCATTGATCTAGGCAAGCAGAAAGATGATTCCATAATTACTTTGTAGTAATTAACAAATCACTGCTTCCTCTCTAGGCTAGATGGTAGAATAAAAATATTATATTTCAGACTTAATTTACCACTGACACAGAGATGAATGCCATCATTTCAATTCAGAAAAAGGATGAACATATTATATTTACCTGTAGGTCAGGGTTGGCTGCTGCTTTCTGGAGTTCTGCACTGATAATCTTTTCAGTTTTCTCTCGGGCAGCCTGCTCCACCATACGCTGGCTTAACACAGAAAGTTTGGCCAGAGCAGATGACAGTTCATCTGTGGCCAGTGCCTGCCTTGCTCTGTCTTGCCAACTCATGGCACGTTCTGTCAGGCATTGGAGGGCTTCTCCTTCAGGCAGTCGCACAGGCAACTTCTGCAGGGATACTAGGAGAGATAGGATGGTCTCTAGGCGGGGCCTTCGGGAGCGCATACAGAGAGGGCACAAAAATTTTACTTCTTTGGCCTGCCAGCTGGATCCCTTTTTCTGGGAGCTTGTTTTGGGAAGGGGTACACAGCTGCTATGGAACCAGTCTTTGCAGAGCTCACACTGAAGCATAAACCCACTTGCTGTCTTGCGGCAGATACAGAATTTCACATCTTCAAACCGATCCACCATGGTGATCTTAGCTAAATTAGCTGCCCTGAGGGAATGCATGGCTTCAATTTCTTTCTGCTCCCGATCTTTGAATACTGCCACCTGTGCAACACAAACATTTTACTGAAAAAAGGAATCACCGTAATACACAGGAGACACAGCAGGGTTGAGCTTAAAGCCCCATTTTTAGCTTCAGAGAAGTCTAGTCATCATTCCATTAAAATCAGTTCAAAATCTACAAATTAGGGGGAGTTTTGCTCCCTGATAACTGACGTGATATCACTGAAAAATGGTTTGAGCTCCTCTTGATGAGGGTCTAAAAAGTAAATCCAGTAACATCATTCAATTTCTACAGAAAGTAGCATGACAAAACCTGATCAATTACAACTATTTTTCCAAAATTGGAATCTGTGTTTCATAAAACAACAATGGATAGAGTACTATGCCTACAGTCAGGAAGATGAGAGTTCAAATCCAGCCTCAGACACTTACTAGCTGTGCAGCACTGGGCAAGTCATTTAACCTCTGTCTACCTCAGTTTCCTCAACTGTAAAATAAGGTTAATAATAATAGCACCTTCCTTGTTATAAGGATCAAATGAGATAATTTTTGTAAAGTGCTTAGCAGAATCCCTACCACATATTATTCCCTTCCCTTGAATATAATCTCAAATATATTTTCCTTTTGAATACATTTCTATCTTATTACTTTTACTAGGAAGATTTTAGAAAAGAAAAAAAAGGTAGTTTCAGTGTGTGAGAATACACAAATGTGGAGGAAGATGGGGAAGGCAGCCATCAGATGAACCTTACTCTTCTCTGAAATGAAAAAGAGAGGGATGAACACACATATGCATGTGCATGCACACATATAGAGTGTAGAAATATAGCAAACTCAAGGGAAGAGTACATGGAGGTTTGAGAGTGTGGAGTTACAAGAGGAGATAAAGAGGATGAATAATACCACGCAAAATAAACTTCCTAATCCTGAAGGGAGAAAGCAAAAAGCAAAGCAAAAAAACTAGAAACTAAGGAGGCAATCATTAGAAAGAAACTGAGAAAAAAATCACCCCTTCTCAACTTCCCCAAACTCCCTTTCCGCTACTTTCTCAGCTAAAAACGTCACCTCATACATCCCCTGAAAAAATTGAGGTCATTTACCAAGAGCTTCCTCTTCTCATCTCATATCCTCCTCATCTCATATCTCATATCACCTAGATGCCTTTTGCCATTATCACCTCTGTAACCGTAGTCTCACATGAAGAGGTAGCCCTTCTTGCCAGAACAAAACCCTCTACAAGCATACATGATTCCATTCTGTCCTGCTTCCCAGCAGATTGTCCCTTCTATCATTCCTCTCTCGCTTATCTTCCACCTCTGTCTACTGGCTGCTCTCCTACTGCCTACAAATACATGCCTCCCTTATCCTCAAAAAACCCTCACTATCCATCCATCCCTATGAACTCTCATGTCATGTCTTCTCCTCTTTCTGGCAAAACTCCTTGAGAAAGCCATTACAATCAATATCTTCACTTCCTTTCCTCTCACTCTCTTAACAATCTAGAGTATTGCTCCCAATCTTATCATTCAACAGAAACTGATCTCTCCAAATGATCTCTTAATTGCCAAACCTATTGGTCTTTTCCCAATTCTCATGCTTCTTGACTTCTCTGCAACCTTTGATACTTCTGATCAGCCTACTCTCCTTGGTGCTCTCTTCTCTCTAGGTTTTTGTGACACTACTCTACCCTAGTTTCCTTGCTACCAATCTGACTACTTTCTCAGTCTACTTTGCTGAATTGTTATACAGGTTACACCCACTAATAGTGGATATCCTCTGGGGCTCTGGCCATCTGTTTTTTTCCATCTATGCTACTTCACTCGATTATCCCAAAAGTTCCCATGGATTCAACTGTCATCTCTATGGTTATGATTCTCAAATCTACTTATTCAGTGCTAACCTGCCTACTGGATTCCAGTCTTGCATCTCCATTTGCTTATTAGACCTCTCAAACTGGATGTCCTGTAAACATCTTAAATTCAACATGTTCAAAATTGAAATCATTTTTCTTTTCTACTAAACCTTCCTCTCTTTCAAGGGTGCCCAGGTATAGTGCAGGGTCCCAGTTCCAGCTTCTAGACCAGTCTGCAGCTTATATAGCTTCAGAGCAAGGCAAGAATTCCAGACCAAAAGGAAACCTACAATATGTACCAGAGCAGAGCTTCCTAGCTAGCTGACAGTGGCGGTCCAGAAGCAGTCTTCCGAAACACCAAAAGAAGCAAGCCCACAAGCATGTATGTCAGCCCCAAATCTAGGTTAGGAACTTTCGGAACTCAGACTACGTAGCAAATGATCAGACTTTGCCCTGGATTAGACTACTTTAGGAGCACTGACATCTTGCAGGTCCCCAGCCTGAGCTACTGCTGAGATCCAAAATAAAATAACACGCAATACCCCAAGATACCCCAAGAAAACAGCATCAGGACCAGCTGAGACATTCCCTCCGGAAGGTGCAAGGCCTGCCCTAACATCAAGTTCAAAGTCAGGAAGCAGGTTGGAAGAACGAGTATATAAAAAAGGTATTATGGTGACAGGGACACTCAAGACATAAACCCAGAAGAGAAAGACTCAAAAACATCTAAGAAAAGCCTCCAAGAAAAACAGAGTGGGCAAAAATTTAACTAGAATCCCTAGAAGAGATAAAGCTTAGAGTTTTTAAAAAAGAGTTATAAATGTTTTTATGATCGTTCTACAGGAAAAATTTGGAAAAGAAATGAAAGCTATGGAAGAAAGAACTGGAAAGAGAATTAACAGCTTGGCATGAGAAATACAAAAGCTTGCCCATGCAATAAACTCCTTAAGAATTAGAATGGACCAAAAAGAAACCAATGACTCCATGAGGCAATGAGAAATAGTAAAACAAAGTCGAAACACTGAAAAAAATAGAAGAAAATATAAGGTATCACATACCAAAAAAAAAAAAACCTAACATCAAAAACTGATCAAGAAAAGATAAAATTGGGGCAACTAGGTGACACAGTGGATAGAGCACCAAACCTGAAGTCAGGAGGACCTGAGTTCAAATCTGACCTCAGACCAAACACTTGACACTTACTAGCTGTGTGACCCTGGGCAGGTCACTTAACCCCAAGTGCCTAAAAAAATAGATTAAAAAAAAAGATGCTGAAGAAAAGATAAAATTAAGAAATCACTGGACTACCTGAAATACATGACTCCCCCCTTCACCTCCCCCCAAAAAAGGCCTGGACATAATATTTCAAGAAACCACTAAAGAAAATTGCCCAGATCTAAAGTAAAGATAAAAAGAACCCACCAGTCACCTCCTGAAGAAAAGACCAAAATGAAAACTGCCAGAAACATTACAGCTCAAATCCAAAGCTTCCAAGTTAAAGAAAAAATACTGCAAACAGCCATAAAAAAAGAATTCAAGTACCGAGGACTCAAAATCAGAATTACACAAAATTTAGCAGCCACTATATAAAGGACAGGAAAGCTTGGAATATGATACCTGACAAGGCAAAAGATATAGCTTACAGCCAAGAAAACTTAGCCAGCAAAACTGAGTATAATCATACAGGGCGGGGGAAATGGACCTTTAATGAAATAGGACTTCCAAGCACTGTTGATTAAAAGACCAGAGATTCACAGAAACTTTGAAATGCAAACACAGGAGTCAAGAGAAACACAAAAAGCTAAACATAAGGAAACAATCATAAAAGACTGAACAAGAAGAAACTGTTCACTATAATATGGAAAGATGACATATGTATTCATTATGAACCCTATCATCAACAGAAGTCATATGAAGATGTTAAAAGGCCTAAAAGTGGTTCTTTTATGTCTTGATGATCTTTAAAAAAAAGACTGTGAGGAAGGGGAGGGTGGGGGCAGCTAGGTGGCACAGGAGATAGAGCACCAGCCCTAGAATCGCGAGGACCTGAGTTCAAATCCAGTCTCAGACCAGATACTTGACACTTACAGCTGTGTGACCCTGTGCAAGTCACTTAGACCCAATCGCTATGCCAAAATAAAAAAAAAGAAAAAAAACCCAACAAAACAGAATGAAAAGAATAGGAGAGAAAAACACACTTTTTTGTGGAGGGAGCCAGCGGCAGGGGAAGAAGGAAATTTATCTCACATTATCAGGATGTCTATATAAACATGGAGGAAGAAGTGGGAGAACTGGGTAATAAATGAACCTCATACTCACCTTAAGTGGTTAAAGGAGGAAAGCCACAAAAACACAAATGGGTATGGAAATACATTTCACTTAAACAGGGAAACAGGAAGGAAGAGGAGAAAAAGGAATAAGGGAGAGCAGATTATGAGAGAGATTAGCCCTAATCAAAACAAATTCTACAGATGCACAAAACTATTTACAGCATCTCTTTTCAAGGTGACAAAGAATTGGAAACCGAAGTGGAGCTCATCAATTGTCAGTTAAATGGCTAAACATATTATGGTATACAAACATGACGGAATACTATCATGACCAACCATGTCTCCAGAGCACCTACAATGAAGTGTGTTCTCCTCCTGGCAGAGAGGTGATGATCTCACAGTGGAGAAAGAGATGCACATTTTTTTATATGGCCATTGTGTGGATAGTTTTGTTTGACTACATTTACTTGTTATGAGGTTTGCTGGTTTGTTGTTTTTTTTTTAATTCTCAAGGTTGTTAACTAGGAGGGGAAGAGGGAAGAGTTAACAACAGTAGTACCAAAAAGGTCACTGAAACATTTTTCATTGCAAAAAAAGAGAAGAGAAGGAAGCACAGATAGGAAGGAGAATTCTGAAAGTAACATATGGAATTTATTACAACACACAAAACTTTTTAATTCTAAAAAATAAGCAGTATGAAATGGAGATTTATGGTTACATATTTTTGTGTTGTGCTATGTAATGCTCCTTTTTAGTATTTAAGTTCAAAATAAAAAATTAAATTATAGGGGCAGATAGGTGGTGCAGTGGATAAAGCACCAGTCCTGGGAGTCAGGAGGACTTGAGTTCAAATAGGGCCTCAGACACATATTACTTCCTAACTGTGTGACTCTGGGCAAGTCACTTAACCCCAACTGCCTCATCAAAAAAAAAAATTTAAATTATAAAATAAGGAACAAAACAATGAAAAAGAATAGTTTCCTTTTTCTGTAACCTAGATAATCAAATACAATGAGTTCCTACTATGCTGTGTTAAGCAGTATGGGAGATAAGCAATATAAAACATGATTCCCACCCTCAAGTATATTCCTAATTGGATGATAAAGGGGATGTTTTCCAAGAAGCTACCATATATGAAGCAATGAGAAAATTAAATATAGAACTACGTAGTACTTATGTACAATAGAAGTTCCAAAAAAGAGAGTGATCAATGGAAAATAGTGAAAGAATGGAGAAATCAGTAATTAAAAGAGGAAGGAAGGTCAAATTTTGTTTTCTTTCTTATAAAAGAGGAGTTGGGGAGAGAAGTGCCCAATTATGTCTGAAGGTAGTCTATGAAAAGAGATATAAGATACTTAACAGGTAGGAGATGGTTGTAACTGATCAAGGACCTGAAGAGATGGGAAAGATGGAGTCCAGAGTCCAGATGGAAGAATTAACCTTAAAAGTCGATGGATGGACGAACGGATGGACTTTTTCCTTCAAAATTTATTGGGAAGTTGAAATAACAAATGTATAGACATTATACAGCTAATTTTCTCAGATCTGAGCACACATACACACAATTATATTTTAAAGACAGAATTCTTCAAATGAACCCCTTACCACCACTGCTGTATCTCTAGTTTCCTCTAACCCCTCCTCCAGATCACTCAGAGGATCAAGGTCAAGATCTTTTTCTTTCTCCTTTTCCATTAGTTCTTTTACTTTTTTTCTTCGGTTCTTGCTGCTTCCATAAACACCAATATCAGTCCGAGGACTTAGTACCTTAAAAAAAAAAAAGTTATGAAAAGTGGAACACAGGGAATAAAAAATTGAAAGAGAAGGAATTCTATCCCTATACAAGACCTTTTTATATTAGAGGTCAATCAAAGCACATTGTTATCTGTCAGGCCAGTCATTATAAAAGTCCCTTCTCCTTTACCACACCAAAAAGGACATGAACACATTCATAAGAGCCAACGGGCAGCTAGGTAGCATAGTGGATAGAGTGCTGGGCCTGAAATCAGAAAGATTTCTTCCTGAGTTCAAATTTGATCTCAAACACTTAGCCACGTGAACCTGGGTAATTCACTTAACTCCATTTGTCTAAGTTCCTCATCTGTAAAATGAGCTGGAGAAGGAAATGGCAAACCACTCCAGTATCTTTGCCAAGAAAACCCCAAACGGGCTCACAAAAAGTCAGACATGACTCAAATAAGTAAACAGCAACAACAAATAAGAGCAGTAGGTAAAACTGCACGAGGATCCAAATTTCATGTCAATATCTGATACTAGTATGTGGGGTTCTTGAACACACAATTTAAATAGATGAGGAAAAATTGTCCTTGAATATATTTCACACCAAAATAATATGCCTACAATACCCAAAACCTCAGATTCTGAACCACCAAAGAAAACAGGTGGAAGTACTGTCTCCATCCAGCAATACTGCTGCTCACCTGTAACAGTGTATGGCTAGAATTTTTCTTAAGAAAAGTTCTTCCTGTACGTTCTCTCCATGCCCGTGCTGCTGCTACCTGTGACTCCACTTGGGGCAATGCATCAAGTCGTACTGGGATAGGCCGTCCCTTGGCAGACAAGCTTTCCAGCTGCTCAAGGTAAGCATAGTTGCTGCCACTCTGAAAAAAAGAAAGACCTTTTCATTTAGTACAATAGCCTACTGTAGAAAAATATTTTCAAAGAGTTTGGAGTCAATTTTTCCTATAATTCCACTGATGAATTTAGAAAATATCTGCATTTTACATAAGACAAAACTGTAATTGATAAAAATCAGAATAACTGGGATGGCACCAAGTTGGCGCTAACACTGCTGGGGAAACAAAAGCATCACCAGAATATGGGCAAGGCAGGAGGCAAAAGGTAAAGAAAATTCTCACCACAGTGCCTTAGTAGGAACTTAAAATATTTCTTGATTCGTTGATTGTTAGGGGGAAAGGACTGAGTTGAAGTGAAATACAACAAATTAAAGATTCCTTTAAGCTAGATTCCTATGAAAGAGATGGCTAAAACATGTCTGGGTATAGAAATAAAAAATGACAGTGAAAAAACTGGAGTAAAATTATTCAGAAAAGGAATTTTAACATGAAATTAGGAACTGTGCCTACAGAGGTAGATAAAAAGGATCTCAATTCCTCAAGGGACTTGGAGTAGAATCAGGGTAGAACAAAAAAAGTGACCAGACCTCAGTGTTAAAATTAAGCTAACATGTTAATAACTATACCACACAGCTACAATTTACTGGCACAAAAATAAACATAAAAGATATCAAAATCAATCAACAGATATTTCTTAACCACTTATTACGTGCCAGGCACCAAACTAAACAATAAGGATACAAAGAAAAAGAAAAAAAAAACAGTTCCTATCTTCAAGAAGCATTCTAATGGGGAAGACAACATCAACACATCAGAATATACAAGACAAACAGAGAGGAGATGGAAGGTATCCTTGGATGGGGTGGTACTAGCAGCTGAGAGAAAACCAAGGAAGGCCTCCTGAAGGAGGTGGTGTTTGAACCAAGTCTTAAAGAAAGCCAGAGATTCTAACAGTCAGTGGTAAGGAGGAAAAGCTTTCTAGGCATGGGAAACAGCTCACATAAAGGCAAAGAGACTAGACATGGAGTAGTGTGTATAAATAATAACAAGCAGGCTGGATTATAGAGTGCATGACAAGGAGTCAAATACAAGAGTAGAAAAGGAGATTGGAGAATCATGGAGTAAAAGGAAGAGAAAATTAATGGACAGTTCTAATACCCATGTGATGTCAAGAGGCAGGTCCACAGCAGATTAAATAAACACTAAGTAGAAGGTTCCCAGGATGGCATAGGCAAGAGTTATACAGGATGAGGAGGCATAAATGGACTGTGATTTGCACCACTGAAGGGATATATCAACACAGATGACAGCACAGATCAAATGCTTAAGTATGCTAATTATGGGATGTTGGCCACATTACTTACCTTCTCTACAACTCAGTTTACTAATATGTTAAATAAGGCACGTGAACCAGATGAGCTCAAGTCAGCACAATAACATTGTATTCCAGGATTTCCCATGCTACAATATCTCGCACCCTACAAGCCTAGGTGAGCGTAATTTCTTATATAATTCAGTGCCATGGGAAGTAACTGAAAGAATGAAGGTATGAGGGGATCTCAAAGTCACAGTCTAAAGAAGAGAGAGACTACCCTTTAATCAACAGCAAACACTGAGAGCCTTCTATCTGTGGTGCCCTAAGAAATTCGCCACAGAAACAAGGGGAATTAATTTTGCTTAAGGGAATATGGCACAACTCATAATTCCTCAAATAATACTTAATTCCTAATCTAATCTATCTTTCTACAGCAGAGAAGGAAGCCAATTTCACAGTCTAAGGAAAACTCAAGGGCACAGGTAACCCTGCTCAAGCATCTCCATCACAAGAGAGGAATTTTACTAATTGAGGGCTCAAGACTTAGCACTGAGATAATTATTCATTTATAAAATTACTATAATATTCTAGGCCCACTTTAAATTCCATTCCAATTTAATTATTTCCCCTAGTAAACACTGCTTCAAAATTGGAATCTTAGATTCCTTAGCACCTAAGCCATGTCACTAATAGGGACTCTGCAGATCATTAAACACATAGGGCATGTTAAAAATGTCAAATCCAAGAAGGCTGTTTCCAATATTTGAAAATTTAACAATAACAATATACTGCCTTAAAATTTACAAAACATTTTAAATAGATTATCTTATTTGACTCTCATAGTAATCAAAGCACTATCCTCATTTTACAAACTAGGAAGCTGAGGCCAAAGTAGGCCATAACTTGCCCATGCTCACACACCTGAGGTGAGATGCAAATCTAGGCCTTCAAGCAAAGGCTAGGTAAGCCTTAAAGGGGACTCTTATTTAGTTGGAGCAGCTAGGTGGCACAGTTGATAGAGTACCAGGCCTGGTGTCAGGAAGACCTAAGTTCAAATCTGGCTTCAGATACTTACACTAGCTGGGATGCTGAGCAAGTTGCTTAACCTATTTGCTTCAGTTTCCTCATCTGTAAAATGAGCTGGAGAAGGAAATGGCAAACCACTACAGTATCTTTGCCAAGAAAAATCCCAAATGAGGTCCCAAAGAGTCAGACACAAACTGAACAACTGAACAACAATTCAGTTGTGGGTTGGACTAGAAGGCCTTTGAATTCCTTTGTAACTCTGAGATTCTGGGAATATGTATTTTCTCTCTATGTGTATATATAGGTCAGAAATGGTCATTATCAGCCAAAAGGAAGAAAGGAAGATTCTTGGAGATGACCTTTAAGTGGCATTTTAAAAGGTGGATAAAAATTCAACAGGGTTAAAGTGGGAAGAATATTCCAGGAAATACGCCTGAGTAGAGGCAAGTAAATACAGGGTATATCTAAGGAAGAATAAACAGTAGTCCAGTCTAGCCAAAGGAGAACATGTTTGGTGGCAGTCCGGTGATATAAAGTTTAAAAAGCAGATGGCTCCAAATTGTGGAGGGACTTAAATGCCAAGCTAAGGAGTCTGAACTGTAGTCAACAGGCAATAAGAAACTAAAGAAGATCTTGAGTAGAGAAGTGACATGACTGTGTCTACAGATAAGAAAGAAACATCTAACAATTATAAAGGATGAATAAGAGGGGGTGGAAAATAAAGGTGGAAGATCTTTTAAGAGATAGACTATTTTAATAATCTTGGGTGGGCAGTAATGAAAACCTACATTAGGGTAGTGGTAATAGGACTAGAAAGGACAAAAGCAAGACAACAAGAAAACAGTACTACTGACAGAAATAATAAAACTGGAGCAAGGAACAGGTTTACTAGGTAAGAAAAGGTCAGTTTTAGACATGATTTTAGTCTAAGTGGGACCAGAAAATCTCCAGTCTGGAAGGGACCTCAGAGATCATTTAGTCAAACTCATACCTAAACAAGAATTCCCCAATAACATATTTGACAAGAGGGAACATTTAGCCTTTCCTTTAAAACCTCCTCATCCAAAAATGCTCTAAATCACTACTGATTAGAGAAATGCGAATCAAAACGATTCTGAGGTACTGCATCACACCTATCAGATTGGCTAATATAACAAAACAGGAAAATAATAAATGCTGGAGATGTGGGAAAACTGGAACACTAATGCACTGTTGGTGGAGTTGTGAACTGATCCAACCATTCTGGAGAGCAATTTGGAACTATGCCCAAAGGGCTATAAAACTGCATACCTTTTGACTCAGCAATATCATTTTTAGGTCTGTATCCCAAAGAAATCATAAAAACAGGAAAAGGACTCACATGTACAAAAATATTTATAGCAGCTCTTTTTGTGATGGCCAAGATTTGGAAATTGAGGGGATGCCTACCAGTTGGGGAATGGCTGAATAAGTTGTGGTATATGAATGTAATGGAATACTATTGTGCTATAAGTAATGATGAGCAGGAGGACTAAGAGAAAAACCTGGAAAGACTTGAATGAACTGATGCTGAGTGAAGTGAGCAGAACCAGGAGAACGTTGTACACAGTAATAGTCACGTTGTGAGATGACTAACTTTCATAGACTTGGCTCTCCTCAGCAATGCAAGGATCTAAGACAACTCCAAAGGAATCATGATGGAAAATGCTGTTCACATCCAGAAAAAGAAGTATGGAGTCTGAATGCAGACTGAAGCATATTATTTGTTCTTTTTTCTCCTTTTTTTGTTTGTTTCTTCTTTCTCATCATTTCATTCATTCATTGGTTCTAATTGTTCTTTACAACATAACTAATGTGAATATAGGTTCGATATCAATGTGTATGTAGAGCCTATATCAAACTTCACAACATCTTGGGGTGGGGGGGGTGGGGAGAAAATTTGGAACTCAAAATCTTATGGAAGTAAATGCTGAAAACTAAAAATAAATGAATGAATGAATGAATGAATGAATGAATGAATGAATGAATGAATGAATGAATAGGTGGGGGGAAAAAACCTCCTCATTCAATTTTGGGACAGTTTTGTTAAAAAGTTTTTCTTATATCAAGCCCAAAATTATCCCTTTGCAACTTCCACCCAATTGTTCCTAGTTCTGCCCTCTGAAGTTTGGCCCTCTGAAGCCAAACAGAACAAACATAATCTGTTCTCCTCTGTAAGTCAACCCTTTAAATATCTATGACAGCCATCATGTCCCACCCTCTTCCTCAAAGTCTTCCCCAAGCTAAAAGTCCTTGATTCCTTCAGCTGATCCTAATATGGCAGGAACTCAAGGCCCTCCATCACTCGACAGCCTTCCTCTGAACATTCTCCAGCTTATCGATTCCTAAAATATGATACCCAGAACAGAACATAATGACCCAGGTATGGTGTGACCAGAGCAAAGGTACAAGGAAGGGATTATCATCTGGACATTATGCCTCCCATAATGCAATTGACTATTGCATTCGGTTTTTTTTGGCTGCTATATCACACAGTAGACTCATACTGAGCTTGCAGTCTACTCAAAACTGCAGATCTTTTACATATGAACTGTTATCTTGCCACAGTTATCTCAACTTTTACTTGTGAAGTTGATATTTTTTAACCCAAGTCTTATTTCTACTAAATATTATCTTATTAGATTTAGCCCAACGTTCTAACCTG